CAGAAGACAGAGAAAAGAAAGAGGAGAATCAAAGTAAAGAAGATTGGAACAGAGAAAATGAAGGCTCTATAGAGCTTGAGTTCCGCTGAAGGATCAGATCTGCTGGAACAACAATACGAGTCTGAAGAAGTATAACCTTCAGACATCACCAAATCCCCGTACACAAACATAGACTTTACAAGTAAAAAAAAAAAACCCTTTTCCGTAATTTACACTCATTATCTTATTAATATTTTACTTCAACCAAACATAAACTTTGTAAATTTCAATTAATTTATCCAGTAATATTTCAGTCTACCAAACAATTTTTTTAAACCTTTCCCATCAAACTTGATTTCATACAATATTATTAGTCATTATGCTTACCCGGTAAAAAAATTACTCCTCTACCAAACGACTCCTTAGTTATTTCACTCATCTTATCATAGCTCAAGCTTTTTTAAGCACAATTATTTGGTTGTGTACGTTAAAGTCAGTTTCCATTTCTTATTCTAGTGGTTGTATACTTGTATTACTTGGTAGGGATATGCACGGGTCGAACCGAACTGATTTTTTTAAAAAACCGAACCGAATTGGTTTAAATGGTTCGGTTCGGTTCAAAACTGATTCGGTTCGAAAGTGACTCGGTTCGGTTGAAAACGGTTCGGTTTGGTTCGGAATCGTTTCGGGTCGACCCTATTTTGAAAATAAAAGAGAAATAAAAAAAAACAAGTTATAAAAATCAATTTGGTTCGGTTTGAAAACGGTGCGGTTCGATTTGGTTCAAAACGGTTCAGTTCGGTTCTTAAACTGGTTCTAAAACCGGTTCAGTTCATGAACCAGTTCTTTAAAAACCGGTTCGGTTCATGAATTGATTTTTTAAAAATCGATTATTTTAAAGACGATTCGGTTCGGTTCGTGATTCGGTTCAATTTTTTAGTTATTTTACACACCCCTGTTACTTGGTGAGCAACTATGGGAAATCTTATATGCTATAGCTCTTATTCTCGTGTGTTGTTTTGATAATAAATAACATCACTTTTTATTTCTTGGAGTTATGTTAAATTATGGCTGTCTCTTCTTTATTTAAAAAAATATATATTTTTCGCTCTTGAAAGATAAAAAGAGTATACTTTAGCTATTTGGAAAAACTATCGGACCTCTTTTCAGCAATAATAAACTAAATATTTTTCGTCTCTTTGTGACTCTCAACGTGACCACAAGTTAATTTGAGTATCTTATTATCAAATTTGGGACTTTAGAAGATGAAATTAAAATTTAAAAAACTTCATTATTGACTTTGGAGATTCACTAAATATTTTCATTTCATATTTTAAAGTCCTAAAATCAACAATATAGGTTTAAAATTAGCCGCCAATGATGTTGACAGTAGTTACAAAGAAGGAAAAACCACACCTAAGAGGTCTGTTCACATTACAATGAATTGGAAGTGTGTAGGACATATTATTCTTTTATTGAAGCAAAGTTTTTTTTTTTTTAAATAAAGGGAGGATAATATAATTTAAACATTTATGAGGAGATAGGAGTGTAATTTACCCTTATTTCAATTACACGGGTCATCATTTTTTTCTCATTTTAATTGGGAATAAAACCTCTGACTAGATTATAAGAAAATTTTGTATCTATCTTTTTTCTTTTTTTCTTTTTTATACCAAAAAAATAAAAAAAATAAGCAGGTCCCTCCTCATGTACAAAAAAGAAGAAAAAAACAGGTCCTTATCAAAATTTATCCAAAGAAATAGATAAATACAAATAATTTTTAGAGTAAATACTCTTTTAGGTCCCTAACAAAAAACACGGTCCCCACTTTAGTCCCTTACAAAAATAAATTAGTCATTTAGTCCCTAACAAATTCAAAGTAGACCCATTTTGGTCCTTTTGAAGGACTAATATGGGTCTTTTTTGAATTTGTGAGGGACCACGATTTCAACTAAATGGGTCCACTTTGAATTCGATACTGGATTATTCATAGCATTACTATACCCTCCCTATTCATTGCGGGTTGGTTATTTGTCAGCACGGGTTTAGCTTACGATGTATTTGGAAGTCCCCGCCCAAATGAGTATTTTACAGAAAGCCGACAAGGAATTCCATTAATAACTGGCCGTTTTGATCCTTTGGAACAACTCGATAATTTTAGTAGATCTTTTTAGGAGGCGCCAATGACCATAGATAGGACCTATCCCATTTTTACAGTACGATGGTTGGCTGTTCACGGACTAGCGGTACCCACCGTTTCTTTTTTGGGATCAATATCAGCAATGCAGTTCATCCAACGATAAACCTAATAAAAATTATAGAGCTATGACACAATCAAACCCAAACGAACAAAATGTTGAATTAAATCGTACCAGTCTCTACTGGGGATTATTACTCATTTTTGTACTTGCTGTTTTATTTTCAAATTACTTCTTCAATTAATAGAAGAAAGGGGAGTTGTAAATATATATTAGGAATTACCTTATCCCATTCGGAAGGATATCATTTTATAATTATCTACGACTGTTTATGTCTCTAGCATGACTACTGGATCAAATGGGGAGGAAAGTGGGATAAATGGCTGATACTACTGGAAGGGTTCCTCTTTGGATAATAGGCACTGTAACAGGTATTACTTTGATCGGTTTAATTGGTATTTTCTTTTATGGTTCATATTCCGGATTGGGCTCATCCCTGTAGTAATCAGATGAATTGAGTTTGCGAAATCAGAGTGTAAGAACTCAACAGGGATCCACTCTTTCTTTGACGAATTCGAGGGGTCCCGTTGAGTTCTTCTTATTATTAATAACTTAAAGAATATTCTTTATTAGTATAAATAACTCAACGGATAGCTTTTTCCGATGTTTCAAAACATTCCATTTCTTTTTTTATGTTTTTGTAAAGTGAACTTCATGAATTGATTCAAAACACCCTTTCCTGGAGATTATCTGTCAATACTTTTTTTGGAAGTTGAAAGAAAAGTAAAAGAAAGAAGGAATCAAAGAAATCACTTGATTTATTTCGTCTGGGCGGCGCAAATTTCACAAAACCCCCTCTATACTAATAGAATCGTACTCTCCCTCTATTTTAGTCTCTCTCGAATAGTATCGAATTATGATTCAAATATTTTTTTTTCTAAACAAGTAAATCCAAGAAGTTGTATTTGGTCAATTAAACCCCACTCTTTTTTGTTTGTCCACTACTCCACTACCTATTCTAGGCAATAAAAAAATATTCTATGTCAAAAAGGTTCTAAGTTGAAGAAAATAGAAACTAAGCTAAGATATTTAATATGATTCTTTCAGGAAGGGGATCCGGAAGTTTTATTCTATGTACAATTTTACAATTTCTATTTACACACATTAGACCATCATCATTCTTAGAGATATTATTCAGATAGCTAGAATTCGTATAACTATAACTAGAAAACAAACTTTCTGGTTCACTTAGAAAAGAATGATGATTGTCAATTTCCAAAATTTTATTTTCAATATCAAAATATATGGAATAACTATTCCTCTTAGTATCCTTAACCAAAAAATGTTTTTCAGATAGGAAATTCCGGATGTCCCGGACGCCGACTGAATAATCAACATTACTGTAACTATAGTTGTTACTTTCATTCCAACTATAAACGCTTTTATCCGTATCCGTAAAAATTCGGTGTTCACTTAGATTGGTATTTTCAATAGGACCAAAACTATCCGCCGATTCACTTAACCCGCACCTGTATTCTAATTTTCTATTAAACAACATAGAATTGAACCACCATTTTTCCATAGAGCTTTTTTCCCATATTTACACCAAAATACAATAGATGAATAGTCATTCGATGAAAAATCAGAATCATATAAGTATTCTATTTTAAATATTATATATCATTTATTTACTATCAAAAAAACCTCATTTATTTTTAGACCCAATTAGTCATTATGAATTTCCTTTTTCCTATTATATATATTTTATTCTACCCCTAATCCATTTTTTTTTTTTTTTATAGATAGAAATCTATTTTTGTGGCTATAGAAAACGACATTGTATGTCAACAATAAAAAAGAAAAAATAAGGTATGAATAGAACAAGAGAACGGAGGGGGATAAAATAGAAAAGAGTTCTCAAAATCTATATACAAGTCACCCACACCGTCTTTTCTTATTTCATTAATTGAATTTCATTTGTTGATTAGGACAAAATTCCATAAAAACACCCGCCCTTTTTGAAATATCCTGAACGGTTCCTGTAGGTTGAGCGCCCTGCTCAAGGAAATATTGAATAACAGGAATATTTAAATAGGTTTGATTATTTATTGGATCATAAAAACCCACTTTCCGAAGATCTCTTCCCCCTCTTCGGGATCGAACATCAATCGCAACGATTCGATAAACGGCTCATTGGGATAGAGATAGATGACCAACAACCCCCCCCCCCTTGAAACGTATAAGAAGTTTTCTCTTCGTACGGCTCGAGAAAATGACAAGTTATGTCTTTGTATCAATCAAATAGATCAATAAAATCATCAAATCAACTAGACTAGGATTTCAGTCTTTTTTATTATTCTTTCTTAAAAAAAAAAACTCCTCGTATTCACAATCTCATAACTCAAATTGGATCATAACTCAAAGGAAAACAAAAGTTTTAGTTATTTTATTTCACTTATTGAGCGGTCTCTACCCCCTTTCTTTTCTTGCCTTTATTTCTTTAGAATCTTCTTTTTTCACTTTAATGGAATTGTTATTCTAATTGAATTTTTGAGACAGTTTGAAAATGGTATTTACTTGTTCCAGGATCTTTTAGCTTTTCCTTGAATCGTTGGGTTTAGACATTATTAATTTGATTAAATTAGTCATACCATGGATTGTAACTTGTACGTTAGTAAATTAAACATTTTTGTCTCTTTTTTATCTGTCAGTTTTTATTTTTATTTTTTATTCACAAGTAAATTAAAAAAAAAAGTCCCCAAACAAATCCCAAAGTAAGCAAAATGGAAATTCAGAGGCCTTCATTTCGCCACCAACACTTGTGATTTTGTCATGCGTCTTTGAAGTTCAACGGATATACAAAAGCGCATTCTAATGTATATATATCCACATAGCAGAAGTGAGAAGCATGACATAGCTTAGTTCTATTCACTAGATGGAAGCCTTATCTGTTGTACCAAGCGTGCCTCTACTATAAATGGAGCTTTCTGCATTCCCGAGCTTCAAAGCAGTTTCTAATGCTTCTTTTTTCCCATTTTCTTCGAATCAAGTTTGGTGCCGATGCTCTCTTCGTCTTCCTCGCCGCGATCATGGCTTTCGTTGGATTCGCAAATCAAAACCGTTTGTTCGGATCAGGATGTGCTCGGAGAAAGGTTCGTCGGGGAACGGTTATGGCGGAATCGAGAGCGGAGAAACGAAATCTGATTTCGTCGAAGTGATTGGCATTGGCAGTAGGAAGGACGCGGTTCTAGATTTCTGCTTGAACTCGCCATTTCAGTTATCGTCGCTGCGGTTTTGGTAATCGTCTAGTTTCCAGTCATCGATTTTGCGATTTTCTTATTGCTGACTTTAGTGAATTGGAAATTTGGAGCTGTTGTGATTTGTGATAATCTGTTTTTTTTTTTTTTTTGAAAGCATTGGAGTATCTGATGCTTTTGGTTTAATTTTTGAAGAGGATCCTTGAGTGGATGGAATGGAACCTTAACAAGTCTTATGTACAATGTGATTATGTGAGGGCTTGTTTGGCAAAACACAAAATCATGGAGAATAATTGTTTTTGGTACAAATTATTTGTAGATGATTAGGTTTCTATACGGGAAAAGAATTATAAATCAGTGTGGTCTTGTGACTGTCTTGTCATATAAGTTCATAATGATTTTCTAGCGGGCAACCGTGTAGTGAAAAGTTGTCTGATAATTTGTTATTGTTCTATTCGGTGTTTTTACTACTTTTGAGAGTTGAAACTGTTCTTCATATGGATGAAAAGCCTTAGTGCTACTGATTGTGAAAGCATGCTGATAGTTTTAGTGGTAGCTACTAGCCAGCTGAATTATTAGCCCTCCTTTTTGTAGTTTCTAAATTTTTGTTGATTTTTTGCTCTTGGTGGCATGAACAGACAAGGCAGGTAATACTATCCCAGGAAATTTTAAGAAATTTCGTATTTAAAGTGCAACATATGATAGGCTTCTTATAATATATTAAGGAAAGGCATATATTGCACATTTCAAAATAATTTCAAAGCTTAAGTTAGTATGCATTGTTTTCTTTTGGATATATCAAAAAAAAATTCTAAGGTTAGGGCGTGTCACATGTCTTAGGAAGGGCTTATAGTGGTACTCACAAATGACCTACTAATGAAGGACCACTAGCAGAAATCGAATCCAAGACTTTTTTGTCGACGAAGTTTAACTCTACCATTTGAGGCAACCCTCATTGGCAGGGGCGGTACATAGTGTAAGCTGAGGGAGGCTTTGGCCCCCTCTCCCCCCAATGTTTTCTTGAGGAGTTTACTTTTTTTTTTAATTAAATTTTCTTAACATAGGCATGTTAACTATAATTGGAGTCTGGGTAGGTGTCAACATGAGCTGGATTTGTAATTATCTTGTGCTTTAGTATCACAGTAAAAATATTAGCCTCTTTCTTGTTACAAAGTAAACTGTTAGCTTGCCTGAAAATAGACTTGTGGAGAGTATAATAAGTAGTTATCTATAATTATACATAATACAATAGTAAACTATTTCTCAAATACTACAAAATGTATCAGTTATCAATCATCATTTTCAAAAGGATGCAAATAGAATAACGTGAAACTTTCCAAAAACAGTTGGCACAACTAGTAAGGGTGGATCACGTCAACTAAGTTCAATAGGGTTTGAATCCTGCAGGGTTTGTTGTTTTCGGGTTATTTGTAAGTACCCTGTAAGTACTCGATGAACCTAGGGGCCTTCCCTGACTATGGGATTGGGCAGCCATCCATGACCCTAAATTTTTTTTAGAAAACAAGAATGACATGAAAATTATTATAGAAAGAAAGAATTTTAGTCAAGAGTTCTGTGTCTTATTTAACACTGATTACAATGTTTTTTGTGTATATGTTTATGAATAAATATAGAGAACAGCCGTCTCCAATATGTAGAGAGATTGGGCAACCTTGTTTCATTTATTATTTTATCCATTTTCTTTTGTCTTTTTGTTTGAAATGTTTGTAGTATACGTTATCATCCTTTGTTGTACCTTTTTTTTCTCTTTAATAAATTTGTTTTTCTATTAAAAAGAGTAAGAATGGACAAGCACTGTTGATGGTTTCTTTGTGCCAGATATTAAATAGGACATCATTTCAGAGTGTAGCAGAAATGGCTGCTGGTTTTAGTTTGTTAAATTATTTCTTCCATTCCAGATAAAATGGTTTAATTTCTTCTGGAATTGATTTTGAATTTTGCATTTTGAATTTGCCTTAAGATATCAATCTTTCTGCAGGAATATCCTTATGAAAGAATCACAAGAGGTGCAATTACAACAAAGGTCAATTGAAGAAGGTTTTCCTTTGATTTAATATTACCTTGATTATTTTTATCCTATAATTCTTATATGTCTAGTTCAGTACAGAAACATGTATTGGCATAACTTTTTTTGTGATGTCTAATTTGATAAAAAGAAGAAGTTAAATTGCAATTACGTTCTTCTTGATTTATTCTTTATTATAGTATGCATTTCACTACCAAAAATGAACCTCAGACGAGAAGACAGATTTATTATGCTATTCATACTCATCCCACATTGTTCTCTTCTGTTATTGCAGAACCTCATCCAAGAATTGTCAAAGCTCCAGTATTTATGAAGTCATGCTCAAAGACTATTGTCCTTGTTTGTACATTCCTTACCATAAAACTCTTGCAGTAAAACCTTTGTTTCAATAGTGGTAGTTTTCATCCATTAAGTGACCATGAGTATCCAAGTGAACTATTTTGCGTTATCCCTTTCAGATGGTGATTCTATTAAATACATATAAGTCAATCTGAGCTACTTATATTTGTTATTCATCACCATAGAATAAATATTTTTTTATTCAAATGAAATTCTAAGTCCATATTTGTTGCAATAGATATGGTAAAGCTGGCAGACATGACTTAACGTTGCATTCCTAACATACATATTTTATGCAAAATCAAATCATAAGATGTATTATTCCAGCCAAAATTTGTGAGTGGTCTAATGTAAGAGATTTTTTCCCCCATTTTTCTTCTTAAGGTGGCTAGCGCTGGATACGGATTGGACCACACTGTTGCAGTTGATATTTTTGACACTGTAAGGTCCTTAAATGGATTAACAGTTGCTATAGTTTTGAAGCCTTTTAGCTTTGAAGGTTTAAGACGACAAGATGAGGTATCATCAGACGCTTTAATAATATACTTCGTTCTGGGATGACTTAAGAAATCACAACTACAAAGCATTCTTTATCATGGTTTTTTTAAACATTTCTGCCTGCACTATGATGAATATGTCTGTGGGCTCAACATATTGTCAATTATGATTACTTAGGAAAATGCCACTGAAGGTTATTAGACATTCTATATGTTTTTTGCTTTATGATTGCCTGAGATTCCTTGATTAATCATTAATGTTTTGTAGTTCATTCATTCATTTTTTGTTTTAGATCATTTAGTCTGTATGGTATATTTATTTGTGTCATAAATTGTCAGGTGAAAGCTTTGGCGGGAAAACTTAAGGAGAACACAAATTTACTTATTGGTGAGCTATGCTTCATATGATTGCTTGTTAAAATTTGATTCTGTATACTTTTTTCTGTTTCGTTGCTTTTTGCCATTTGGAATTTAGTACTCAAAGGAAAGACTTTTTTTCCTGAAAAGAACATTTAATTATGATAATGTCTAAAAAACTTAATTAAAAGATCAGCTTTTCTGGCTGTGCTAAGCCTGAAGGTGAAGCTTGGTTATGTACTCTATATGACCGTTGAGGCACATGTCACAAGCTGGCCCGGTGTTTTAGTAAGAAAATATGTGAAAGTGACAACACTGGCCAATCTGATATACCAAAGGTGACAGTTGGGTTTGTTAGTCTCATGGTCATGGGTCTGGAGTGACTTAAAGTAGTAATCAGTGCAGACAAGAGGAGGCTATGTGCTTTTACAAGATTTACTTTACCCATCACCTTGAAATCAGAAAAGGTATAATCTGTATTTGACTGGCCAAAACAATAAACATAGGACAGATTTGGAAGGCCTTCCTATGTCTGACATCAAGGAACCAATTGTTAGAAAAAAAAAAGCTTTTAGAAGAGATAATCTAGGAGTACCTTTTGATATATCTCCTGCATGCCCCACATGTGAAAGATCTATGATCTACATTGCCTGAACATACTCATACTTAGCTACAATTATGAAAATATTTATTCCAAACCATCCAAGCTTCCTGTAACGTGAAAACAAGGCATAATGATAATATACAGAGTTTCTCAAGTGTAATGGACATTGGGTGACAAAAATTGGAAAAGTATGATAACTGGGATGGATTTATATTGTGAATTGTAATCAAAATTTAAAATATTGATTTATAAACAGGTGTAGTTGACTCCCTATTAGTGGAATTAAGGCTTGAAGTTGTTTTGAACTGCCTGTCAATGACATTGTGGTTGTCTTTGTCTTTTTTCGAATTGATGAAACTATGATTTTAGAGTGTGATAACGAGAGAAAAAAAGTATAATTCACTTTGAATCAGATCCCGAGAGGCCTATAAAAATTATGAAATGTAGCTCACTTTTGTTGATTTGTGACACAGAAATTGATATTGATGCACTGCTCAAAAAAGACTTGTTGACTCTAGATGAGGCTGTGAAGACTGCAAATGATGCAGTTTTGCTAGCTATTAAGGCCATATCTGTTCTAAACTCTGTAAGTTATATTTTTTAGTGTATTTCTGGCTATTAGTTTGTATAAAACTATCTTATGGTTACAGATGGAAAGCTTTGCAGGAGACGCACAGAAAATTTATAGATAGAATGCATGATGGCATGAACGAAGCCAGCACTTTAGAAATTAATAAAGTAAGTTTCTAAGATTTTCACCTTGGTAGTGTCAGACTTTTTTCCATTAGAAGTCATCTGATAGCCTTGTTTATATTTTTGTTGGAACAGGACCAAACTTAAATATCAACCTGTTCTCTTTTTCTAATCCAATTTTCACGTTTCCATTTCTTTTAACCCCATTCCTTTTTTAAAATTAATGTTTACGTGTGCAGATATTGGAATGCTATAAAGAAGCAGGAATTGGATTTGGAGCTGCATATAACATCAAAACTTCAATTTTGCAGTCTATATTTGATTGTCCTTTCCTGGGAGTTCGTTTGAAGGTATCATCATTTTCTGTATACATGCATAATGGGTATTTTCTTTGTTAATGGATCACAAAATTGTTAAAATGCTTTAATTTTCTAGTAAATGTCTTTGTTACTGGTAGATCCTTTTTCAGAATGATTTACCCCTCTGCCATTTGTTCAGTATAGAACCTTCTTTGTTTTAATATTTTATTTAAACTTTGGATAGTTTAGCTATCACTCTACTGGTTGCATTTTGGTGCCTTTTCCTCTACTATATAAACTTATTATAATCACTATTTTTGCTCAGGATCCAAATAGCGTAGTTATATGCATTCTCGCTGGTTCAATACCGATCAATAATAGCAATATAGAAGCCTTTCTGCATACTTTCCGTCAAACAACAGAATACGCAAGGGATATTATAATATCAACAGTACATGAGCCTGATGTTGAGCCCAACCTACTGATAACAACAGTCCTTGCACTTGGGTAAGTATCTTACTTGAATATATGAATGCTTATTGGTATGCTTTTTACAGTGTTTGCATAGGAAAACATAATTAGTGTTTCTTTGTTTGAGGATATGTCTATTGCTTTCACAATCTCGACCCATATATGGTGAAGGCAAATGGTTACCACAAGGTGCTTTTCCAATCATTGAGAAGTGTTTATCAGGACATTGAGGCTCCTTTTAATTCGATGGCGTTATTTCCCTTATTAATGTTGTTACTGGATTGAGATTGAGCATGATTTAATTACATGTGACTCTAATATTAAACCAGTAGATTTTATTGTATTTTCTTTAGTTCTTTGTAGCCGTATAAGAGTTTTCTTTCTAGTTTCCTATCCAATAATATAGAATAGAATGTGAAAAAGAAAAATATTCTATAGAATACAAATAAAATAAAAATATAGAATTATATTAAAAAAATAGAATGTATAGAGTATAATAATATTAATAAAGAATATAAAAAAGAATATATATATATAGGGGCAAGATATTCTTACACCGGTGTAAGAGTTAGAAGTCTTACACTCAATCTTGACCATTGATCCACTTGTATCCAATGGCTCACATTACTAAAAAATTTGAGCCGTTAGATATAAATGGAATTAACGGATAAGATTGAGAGTGTAACTTACACTGGTGTAAAATGATCCTGACTCATATATATATATATATATATATATTGAATAGAATACACTATTAAATAAGGGATAGGATATTATGACAACCAAATAATGTTACTACCAATGTTACTACCACATCTTAACCGTTGATTTCCGTCAATCAACGGTTATCATTTATTGCGAATTAATAATTAATTAATGAGTTTGATTTGAAAAATGATAACCGTTGATTGGCAAAAATCAACGATTAAGATGTGGTAGTAACATTGGTAGTAACATTATTTGGTTGCCACAATATCCTATCCCATTAAATAAATAGATTTTAAATATTGAAAATCTTGATAAAGAATATTAAAAATACAAAATTGAATAATGAAAAAATTCTATGAAATTAATTCACAATATAATTAAATAGAAGAATATTAATAATAATATAATTAAATACAAATATACTCCTTTTGAAAAAACTAATTTTTTGAAATGTTTTCCTAAAGTAATGCTAAACTGGCATTAATTGGGTGCATTGCTTTTTTTGCGTGTTTTATTGTTAAGCATGAGCTTCAAGCTTCTTTCTCATGTATGTGGACTGTAATGAAGTTTAGACTTACTTTTTTCTGGTTGGGCACATGTTAGATATGAATCAATAGGGGAGGGGTGAGGGTATTGTCTGTTTTCTAATCTTTATTTTCTATCTCAATGAAACTTCATATCAAAAAACTAAAGAAGAAAATAACGGGGTTCATTATTTCAAGTGGAAGATTGACTTCTGAATTGAATTGAAAATAATGGGTATTCAATAACAAGAGAGTTACTAGATTTTGGAAATCAGGTTTCTGAAAATGCTGCAGAACTAAAGGTGGTAATATTGCCAGCTATAATAAGTGACTGGTAATATACTTGGATCTTATCATTGGTTTAACATAAGAGATTTTTCTAGTGTAGCTAGGATGAACAAAGGAATTTCGAGAGACTGTTCTGTGTTTGTGAACAGTTCTTGTAAGAATGAAGTTGTGTGAGGAAGAGAACAATTGCAGGTTTTCAAAACATTTTGTTGTTGACCATCCGTTGGAAATAAAACTATGGCTTCATTTGATGAATGGCCAAGAGTTGGAAACATGAGGATGATGATAACTCACAAATTAACTAATTTGGTAGTCCAAAAAAAAAACACCCAGGACACCTACAGTCTCTTTAGTATTGGAAAATTCATAAACATCGTTTGTCAAACTATCCTGTGCATGGATTATCTGAAATCAGAGTCAAGTATTGACATAAAAGACTTATTAGCTTACATAATTCTAAAGTGCATATGATACTGAACTATTAATGGTTTCCTTAATATTTTTACTTATTCACTAGACCATTTCTCCATGCTCTATACTAGGATGGCATGCATAATTTTGATGGTAACGATGAATCAGATGTAATAAATTAGACAATATTGTTCTTTATTTTTAAATACTCGGGGTTCGTGCTTCCAAGAATTTCTGATAGGTTTCCCTTTTCATATAATTAGCAGTTCAAATGTAAAACAGTCTTCCCAGAATGGCGGTATACTGTCCAGACTGGCCCTGCATTTTCCTCTTGTTTTTAGCTTTTGGGGAAGACATGTTCAGCAACAAGGTGGCCCTGGGAAAGAGAATGCAGAATCTCCTCGTGAAGTGATGGGTTCTTATGACATTGATGTGGGGGCAAATAGAATTACTCCAGATGTCATAGATGACAATTTCAACAAGAACTATGTAGAGTTGGAGCCAGCAGTGAGCAACAACAGCTCAAAGTTTTCTGCTTCAAGGTTTTCTCTCTATCTTACTTTCTCCCTTGTTCTTTCCTTTTTATTTTTATTTTTGCTTTTTTAACAAATTTTATCACGCTGTTTCATTTTTTTCTGATTTTGGCTTCTGAACTATATAATAGGGATTCTGAAAAAAAAGATGATTTATTTGACACCGTAGGCAATTATTCTATCCTTTATGACTCCATTACTCGAGGAGGTAATTTTGAGACACAGAAAATTGCATTACTTTGTGCCAGGGCACTTACCAATTTTTGAATAATTTCTTTCTCTGTTGTTCTATTGATCAATTTCAAATCAAGTAGGATTAGGCGACTCTGCTTTTCAAAGGGAGCAACTTGAAAACTGGAATCTTGGCCCCGGGTTTGAGGTGGCAAAGGAGTGGGCCCAAGAAAGGGCAGCTGATACTACACCCATGGTTGAGGATAACCTAAGCATCTTCCACCTTCCGGTTGGTGTGAGGCCTTCAGAAGAGTTGAAAGACTGTTTAGAAATCTCATTTATGACAAAACAGCATGAGCCAGAAACTGATAATAATGTGAAAGTACCAGCATTAAATGGAGGCATGCCTCCTTGGAGTGCAGTTACTGATGCAGGTTTGGAAGCAGTGATGGAATTTGCATCTTCACTTTTGAAGGGAAAGTATGCTAACAAACCAAAGAAGGATGGAGTTCTATCTGTTCGTGCTGCATCTATGCTGGTAATAATGACTCTGAAATTTGTTGATGATATATGTTCATGCATATATTACTGAAGGAGAACTTGGGGAATATTCTGTCACTCGTGATATTTTCTGAAATTATGTCAAAGTAATGTATAAATTCAATTTTGACTACTTAACAAGATTGATTTCTCCAAAATTGGACGTGTATTGTGCATGTTGCCATTTTCTACCCTCTAGTTGCTCTCTGTGTACCTTTTTGGAGAGCTCTTTTATTTTGTCGTTGTTGTTTAGGTTTTATTTTCACTTGCTGGTTCGTTTGAGGAGCATATTGTATCCTTCATCATTGAGTCCTTCCAGTAAAGTTTTTCATTACATTGAGAAATAATAGAAAATAAAGGGGGCCAAAAAAGTTGTAGGGCCAGTAGCTCAAATTCAACTTCCCCCCCCCCCCCCCCCCCCCCTCCCTCTCTCTCTCTCTCTCTCCCATTTCAATGTTTGAATTCAGGGTTCGAATTTGAGCTCTGCTTTCGATTTGTAGAAGTGCTTCATTTGACTGTATTTCCAACTTTACTTAAATAGACAAATGCCATGACTCTTGGCTTTAGTGCAAAGGTAGAGTTCATATTTTATAGATGTTTTCATATGTCATGAATGTAGATTCTTCAGTTCAAACTCCTACTGATTGTAGGTCGTAGAAGAGAATTTCCTATTTTGCACTACAACATAGCTTTCCAAAGAAATAACCCTCAAACTACCTCTGGTGTTCATCCAGCGCATGTAAAAGTATTTATTAAGGAATAACTGAAATGTAGATTTTACAGTGAGATTTGTGAAGGTCTATTTATGATAGTAATAGGTATAAACTATGTAACTATAATTACTTCATTAGTTTTAATTTTTTATTCTACTGTTGTAAACTTTAAACAGTTTATTGCAATTCCAAGGGATAAGGATTTTAGGTGTGACTTTATATTTTTCCCACAGGAGGCAGAACGTGATTTGTCAAAAAAGTGGAGTCCTGTTGTGGAAATGCAATATAGGGGAGGAAGATACAAGGGACGATGCCAAGGTGGTCTACCTGAAGGGAAGGTAAATTCTTACAAATCTATAATAGCAAGCAGACTCAGGAAGTCTTTTTTTTTCCTTTGGCCTGCATGCTGAGAGAACAGCTATGTTGAATGAAAATCTTCTACAACCAGGGGCGTCTTGTTCTTGGAAATGGAAGTATATATGATGGTTTATGGCGCTATGGTAAGAGATCAGGTCCAGGAACATTCTATTTCAAAAACGGAGATATGTTTCAAGGATCATGGAGGGATGATGTCATGCACGGCAAGGTTTGTACCCTTTTGAAGTTGACTCTTTAGTGATGATTGTCGAAGCTAAAGACAAGCAGAAAGTAATTTTGTTTGTAATCATTGTACTGTTCATATGTATATATATATATATATATATATATTCTAATTTCTTTGGGATGTGATTCTTCGAGCAACTATTACTGTATGAGGTTTTCTTTACCAAAATGTCTCATTTGTGCGTGTCAGTGTATTTATGTATGTATATATAGGTTAGGTTTGGATCCGTTAACGCCAGTTAACTTTCAGCAATAGCTATACCATGATTTAACTTAAAGAAAGTTATTTTGATGAATTACCTATCCAATTCTTAATAATTGTCCAGTTTATCTTGTACACCAATTTTAGAAATTTTAAACAGCTATAAGCATGTAGTTATATGGTGGATATTTATTTTAATTTGGAAAGTGTATCATACACAACGATCTTTGATGGAGTACTAGATGAAGTTGTATTCGTGAATTGGATGTTAAATGCTGCTGATTGATTATGCAGGGTTGGTTTTATTTTCACACTGGTGATCGGTGGTTTGCAAACTTTTGGAAGGGAAAGGCTAATGGTGAGGGGCGATTCTATACAAAGTCTGGCGATGCCTTCTTTGGCAATTTCAAAGATGGATGGCGGCATGGCCAGTTTCTTTGCATTAATGCTAATGGGACAAGGTATAAGCTCAGTCTAGTCTTTTTTGTTTTGATATAAAAGCTCAGTTAGTTTTATTACTGTATTGTCTTTTACATATGTTTTTTTAATTAATTTTATCGGTATACTGATAATGTTTCCTCCCCAAAAACATATCAGACCATCGAGTAGGTTTGCTTACTGTTAGATATGATGTTGACATTTGAGAGGAATAACTGAAATGTAGATTTTACAATGACATTTGAGAGGAAAAAAACTGTTGTAGTCAACTTTAATTTGATAACCAATTAAGGATCGCAGCTTTAATAAAAATTATTTTAAAGATTTGTCAATTTTAAAAAATTAAAGTCACATATACCGTGTGTTTTTATTTTTTTTTGTAACCATATACCGTGTGTTTTTGTTCATGTTATAAATTATTTTTATATATTAAGTATATTTGTCCTTTTAATCTTTATATTGAGAAAAATATATTTTAATATACTTGAGGTCCTTTTTTTTTGGGTGAAATAATTGAGGTCCTTATTTAGTAACAATAAAAGCAATCCCATTATTAATTTATTATAAAGGTTCAAGCTCTTTAGTAATACTTCACTTACTTTTAAGAGGTAAAATTCTTGTCATGCATCCTGTTAATTACAAACTTGTCTTAATGTCAAAATTTCAACTCTTCCACCTTTTGCTCATTCCATGTCAGTATGATAATCTGTCATGTAATAGACTCATGTGTGCAACTGCCATATGAACAGGTACATTGAAATTTGGGAACAGGGTGTTCTTTTAGACAGCAAGCATTTAGACAGTTGACCGAGCAGGATAAATATGGTATTCAAAATTTTGTGATTACTGTGAATTCTAGAGCCTTGTCTCGTTTTTTTCTTACTTCTCTTTCTGTGTTGTATAATAGCTGTTTATTGTCGGCAATCGGCATGTTTTGTGTATTTCGTTTTGCCATGAAGCCAATTTCGCTTGTAGTTTTTTTTTTCCAATTCTTTTCCCCTATATAATTTTCTACAATCCATATTTGCAAGCGTTTGGTAATGGTAAATAGAGTTTACAATTTTTAAAATATTTGGGAATCCCATTATAACATATTTGAGTAGATGTCTGAAAAAAAATCAATTAATTTTTATGTTAATTTTAACACATCAAGCATGAGATTTTGAATTTTTAATATATCATAAGCACAGATATCTTGTATGTTTCTTATCAAATGCCTTACCTGACCTGCATGTATCTGTTACTTCACATCTTGTTAAATTAAAATACTCATGGTCATGGGACCGGTATGAGCTTCGGAATTATATTTGTGAATTGTGGAAGATGAAAATTAGTAAAGATCATACCAACATAACAATAAATGAATCTAATTGTCCTCACTCCTCACCAAAAAAAATAAAAAATGAATCTAATTGTAAATATACACAAACAATCTTGCATATTGGAAAATAAGATCTACTTCAAATTCGATGCATGTGTAAAAAAATATAATTGTATTGTTAATTAATCCTTTATTGTCCCTAATTAAATATTTGAATTTGAATCTAACTAATTAAAATATGTTTAATAATTTTTCTACCCAATTATTTTGATGTCCCACAAGGTCTCCTCACATAATTAAGTTGTGAAACTAATTATCACCCGGACATCTATTGGCGTCTGATTTTCGGTAAGGTGTTTTTAGTAAGATTCAAAGGCATGTACTGTAAGAAAATTTTACGCATTTCGTGGCTCATCTGTTATATTGAGTGGGTGTTGAAAATTTAGTCAAATAGAATTTTAAAAAAATTCATATTTTTCTATTTGAGGATGAATTTATTGTTCCGGAATACAAATTAACAAAAATAAGAAATAATTTTTTTTTTACTTATTTATTTCTTGACACACTATTAAATATAGACATCCTAAATTGTATTATCAGCTTTAATTACATTCTATTTTGGATATAAAAATAATTTGTGCTATCAAATATAATTTTTTAGAAAGCTTTAAATATAACATATTTTTATATTTTTTGAATTTATTGCCTTCTTCAAAAAAAAAAAAAAAAATTTGCATTAATAAACTTTACAAACTCATAAAAATTATATATTTTTATTAGTAAATATGTAAGTTTAAAAAATATGACGGTAAGTAGCAAGTGAACTCCTAATTTTATTTGAAGGATGAAATTATAAAAAGTCCAAATTTTTAGTAATTGTTCCTTTTTAACTTTTAATTAAAGTGTCTACTTCGGTATTTCTCAAAAAAAATATCGTACTATCTTTTTTTAAATAACTTTATATCAATGTTTAAAGTAAGTAATTAAAAAAAAAGAAAAGGTCGTATTATCTTTTTGAAATATCTTTATGCCAATTACAGAGTAAGTAATAAAATAGACCTATAAAAGTTTCAGACTTTTATTACTTACTCAGAAATATTTTATTACTAATTATGTAATTTCACGAAGGAAATACGAAATCCCTAATTAAATCATCATAGAAATTTTTTCATTTTTAATATTATTAATATAAAATGCATTACATATCTCTAAATTCCGGAGAACTATAACTCTTCATACCTAAACTTTTCTGAATATGTACCATTACTCAAATTAAAAAATAAACTGGCATGACTCAAGTTATATTCATAGCAATATATAGATGTATAATTACATTACATAACGTAAATTCCATGTTTTACTATATGAATTCCTATACAAATGTTGAAATAATCATTAAAAAAATCAAGTGCATTCATCAAATATCGACAACAATGAAGAATGAATAACTAGTTAGTTACACATACCTTCCATAAGTATTTTAAGGAAAATTTTATACAAAAAAAAAGTATTTTAAGGAAAATTAACTATAATATATTTTAAACATTATTAATATTTTGTTTCTCTTATCCATATATTAAAAATGTAATGAGCACTCGAAGAAAACTATTTTTAAATTTTGAATATATACTTTTTTACCAAATTTCATTTATTATATGTAGGATTTATATTAAAACAAGATATAAACAGGATTAACAAATTTAATAAAAAAGAACCATAACAACTATCTAAAATTCATAAGTGGAGGGAGGTAGAAGCAAAAGTTAGTCATATTACCAAACAAGTGTTTCAACTTCCTACCTAAAATACGAACTTTATCCATACCTTAGTCACAATATCCTCTCCGCAGAACAAAACTTTAGCTGGTTGGTTCCCTTGCCTACATACATGTTTACATACCATCCCTCGGACAAGCGACAGGAAAGCCGAGTCAATTTGGCCAAAACTATGGACAGGTAGGAGTCATTAACGGAGAGATTATTACTTGTGTTACAAAGCAAAGAAACACAAGCAGGGGAAAGGCAGAAAGTAGGCAAGTAGCACGTGAATCAGTCATCAACATCGTTTTCAAGTATTCCCTTCCACCTCATTATCCTCAATTTCTAATTAATGAGACACCGTTTGGATTTCTCTGTTCTGTAATTAATTGAGGGAAGAGTGGAAGATCGGTGGGCGTTGACCATCGGGAAATAGTTCAGCAAGAATACAATATAATGTTGCACAAAATTGTGCAAATCACGGAAAATTTGGACTGGGAAACACTTCAAATCAATTAATTGAACAGCATGTTACATCTTTCACATTGCCCAAGTGTGCTTTTTTGTGGAAGGATATTTCCTTCAAATGTTGGTTTAGCGAAACTGATTTTCTATTCAAACCTTCGTCTAACCTTTCATACTAGAGCACCCATGAACTTCCGCATTTATGTAAGAGAAATGTAGCACAAGCAATGAAAACTTTAATCTTCTACACTCTTCTCTGGTGAACCATGGTGACTGAGAGAATCAAGACTGAGGAGAAATTTCACTCCAGTAAGAACACATTAAAGAATGAAAAGTAATAAAGAGTAGTTCCAGAATTCGTAAACAAAAAACACGGTTAAATTATGAATAGGAAGGCTTGAGTATATGGCCAACCTGCATTTCTGAGGAACCCTCCAGGAAACAACCGACAATTTCTTCAAACTTGGAGGCAATGACAAAAAATGTTTCCAATCCTGAAGCATAATTCTAAGATCGTGAAGCTTGCTATCCATACCAAAGCAACAATTTGCATGCATCGTACATACTTGATTTAAATCCCTACTTGGTTCACAAAGCCCACCAAAATTAGCTGTATCCAAGAATCTCATCTTCAGTCCAATATCAGTAATGAAAGGGTGAACCTTGATGAAATTTAGGACATCTTGATCGTGGTATCCAGGATAGGTTTCTCGTGAAGAGTACCAGAATTTATAAAACTCTATTGACCTATTATTGGACTTTACAAAATTGAACCCTCCATTGGGTCTGTTCTGTACATCATCAAAGGTACCAGTGAAATAATCACACGCTATCTGGAAATCCGCATCAAGGTGAAACAATGGAAATGGGTCCCTAAACCACATGACATCGGCATCCTGGAAGAGGAACACCACCAAAGTAAGTATCTGATCAAGACACCTTAGAAATATGTCTAGCTTCTCACATAGATATTTTGAAAGCTTCTTCTCCTTTTGGAAAAAAAATAAAAAATGTATGAAGATACGATAATAACAGCAACAATAAAATGCATGGCCATAAACTAAGCTGCAATGAAGCTATGCGTACTGATATGGAGTAATAACTAAGGAACAATATTATTTTCAACATAATTGATAAGGAAAAAGAGCTGCCACTTTGTTCATAATCTCCACTACAAAATTTGACATTTCCATATCTAATTAAATCAAAAACAAAATAAAATTAAAACGCAACATACTCCACGCATTAGCCAAAAAGATAAATCCATCAATATGCATTTATATTGCTACAATCAATACATTATTTAGCTCATTAAGAGGATATAGAGTCAACTCATAAGTAACCCATTCCTTCAGTAATATAACAGATAAATTTCCCCATTAAGCACTGTTATCAAGGAAATCAATGACAAAAGCAATGAACATCGCAACTTATGAGAATGTTTCCAAGGCTGATAAAATTAAAAACAACCTTAAGCCTTACACAATTTAGTCCTTGTGAGCTTGAAGAAGATAGTGATGGAAACAAAAAACTTACAGTGAACACAAAATTGTACCCCATCTCAAGAATAGAACGTAGGAAATCAATCCTTCTCCACATCATCAATAAGTAGCGAGGAGTCATAAAGTAAGCTTCTTTTTGAAAGTCAGCTTCTTCACTAACAAGAGAAAAACAATGGGTATGCAAAACCTGACAGCGTGTAAATGCCTTGCGGTCCAATGCAATGATTACCAAATGGTTCAAAAGCCTACGGGTACGATCTCCTATTCTAAAGCTCTCAAGGAAAAGATCGATGACTGAATTTGGAGCTGCCCATGCTTCATTTAAGGTGGTCAAGATAACAGTTCTGTCTTCCATGGCAGCCTCATTCAGGATTTTTTCAAGTGGATATTCATTGCTAGTCTGCAAAAGAGTCAATTCAAAAAAAAGTGGGGCGGCTGGCTGATCAGCATCAAGATACTCTCATGGTAAAATGGATATAATTTCAAGCAGGTAATGGTTATGCCTAAGAAACTAATTTAAACAGTAACAGATTTTTAGTGTTTGCAAATATTCAAGGTTGGATTCACTTTATTCATAAGACCAAAGAATGGCATAAGTATGAAAACACCACTGCTAGCAGAGGACAATCTATCCATATTTTGCAATACTGACCAACAATTCATATCAACAAAGGCTACAAAAATTTAATACAGGGAAATTACCAGTTCATAGAAATGTGTGTAACTAAATAACTAGTTAAAATATGCCCAGTTTTCCTCAGTTTTTCAATAAAGAAATTAATCGCTTCAATCTCCATTTATTGATAAATACCAATGCCGCATATATGCGGAAGTGTGAGCAACACTTGCAAGTACGCAAAATAAGGCTAGGCGAACATGAACAAATCAGATTATCCATTTGCCTTGTCATGCACATCTCACGAAATTTCAAATATTGTCCTTAAGTAAGCTCGTCTTCCTCCTTAGACTATTACACGTCCAACTATTCATCATGCAGAAATTCCAAAAAGATGTATAAGGAAAAAAATAAATCAAGATCTCATCCTCTTCCATTTCTCATTAATTTTATGTCAATTTATCCAATTTTACTATCATAAGTCTTCACTAGCACTACTACGGAACTTGCGAAGATATTGTTCTGGATAGCCCACTCACATGGGCCCAACCGTTAGGCCCAGCCTAAGGAGCCCTCTTCTAGAAGGCATCATAGGATGCCCCCTCTTCCCCATGCACACCAGCTGCCCCTGCACAAAGGCAGGGGTTCAGCATGCCTAGCCTGAAAAGGCTAGACTGGCTAGGTTGACTAGAGCTCTTGCTCTAAATACCCCCCTCTCACATTGAGGAGGGGATCCTCTTCTTCTCCATTCAGCTTCATGCGCTGCCACTAGGAGAACAACCCTAGCCATACACACACACTCCCCCCTTTAGCACATACATAGGAAGTTCCACTAGTGCCTTGGTCTCTACCATGGTTACTATGAACACCCCTATATCAATATACTTCACCCTCACGGGAGACATCTATGTACCACTTTGAGTACAAATATCAACTACGGAAATCATCGTAATTGGTTCTTTACTATTAATTTCGCAAATTTCTGCCGTCTCTCGATTCTATGCATTATACTTTCTAAAAATGTCCAGAATATTCAAATTCTCAAAAGAAATTAGAACTTAAATTGCATTTCAATCGGTAAGATAATGCAGTAAGCAAAACGACAATGGTATAAAGACTTACGAGCTAGCACAACTACATTCAAATACGTACTCAAAAGTAATTAGAGTTTCAAATTGCTTTCCAATCGATAAGACAATGCAGTAAGAATACGAAAACAGTGATGCAAAACGAGCTAACTCAATTCGCAGTAACAGCAACAGGAAATAAATTTGATGTATAACGCGAGAGAAAAGCACGAAGCAAGCAACGGAACTCACCGCAGCGGGATCGTTGGACGCCAAAGGAAAAATGCTAGGAAAACCAGACAAAGGATAAGAGGAAGGTAAGCTGGATAAGAATCGATAGGAATCAACATCTCTGAAGAGGACTAAGCAAGAGAGAGCAACGGTGGCGAAGAAGAGCGCCGCAGCGAGGGCGCGCCGTCGATGGAGGACTTTGGCCTCCGGCAACATCTCGGCGGCAGAATCACCGTCGGCAAAGCTGTGCGCCGTGGTCGGTGAGAATGTTCTCCGGCGGCGCGTGAGGTTGTGTCGGAGAGGTCATGTTATAGTTCAGCGGTGTGAGGAGACCGTGAGAGAGAGAGAGAGAGAAATGAGAATTTCAATTTTCAAGAGTTAAGAAAATGGAAGTGAAGTGAAGAAGTGGTTGTGTTAGAAAGCTCGAGATTCGAGGCAAATCCGTTACGAACGCGGAACGCATTCTCATGACTTTACTGGCGTGAGGTGTGCCCCTTGAACGGGGTGGTTTCGTGCTTTCATTTGGTTAGGAATTTTAACTGTCTACCGACCCGGAGTTCGCGTTTTAACTTTTAAGAACAAAACTAGTTAGAGAGAAAAATTAAAAAATTACAATTTAAATTAAAAAAAAATACGAATATAAAGTTATTGGTAAAATATCTACAAAATTAATCAGTTGCCTACCATTCTAGACGCAATTGGTTGTGCATTATTTTGAGCCTCACGTGATTAGTTCCGTTGAGTTGCATCCAAACTCATATATAACTAAGGAAAATATTACTCTCGTTTTATACGAGATAGTTATCTCATTTTCTTTCACTTTAAAAATTGCACTCCTTTTTTTTTTCTTTTTCTTTTTTGCTTTTTAATGGTGAGTCTCACTTGAATTCTCTCTATAGCATGAGAAAACTACTCCCATGTAACATGAGACTAATATTCCCCTATAACTAATTATACATTAATTTGTACGTAACTCATTTGTCACGTGACGTTAAGGGAACTTTTATATAATACATAGACAACCTTTAGTGCCATGTAATAAGTTATGGTGAATTGCACCAAATCGATATACAACTAGTTACACGGCGCAATTTAATAAAACTTGCCACGTGGCTAGTTGCTCCTCTAATGGTGCGCAATGATTGCATTAATTTCCTACATACTTTGCAACTTGTTTTAAATTTGTACTTTTTATTTAAATTGTAATTCTTTTAAAAACAATTTCCAAACTAGTTATTCTATCTTGAATAGATGGCTTTTTGACCCTTATAACCCTTTATTATTAATTAATTATTGATTTGACCTTGATTATAAATTATTTCAAAAATTTAACCCTCTCAAAAAACATAACACCAATCTGCCCCTGTTTGACCGTTGACCACCAAGCCTACCCGGGTACACCCCTCTCTACCCGGGTATTTTTTGAAAAATTGTGTGTACCCGAGTAGGGAGGAGTGTACCCGGGTATTGTTCTTCGCACCTGAGAAATTGCTTGAATTATTTACCCGGATAGAGATGGGTGTACCCGGGTAAATCTTCGTTGGCTTTCTCCACTTTCTTCCTTGGTGACTATGCTTCCTTCACTGTTAGAGTTACGATTGAGTGATTGTAAACTTAACAACATCAGCCCATCTCTTGAGTATGTGAATTTTACTTCACTTGTAACTCTTGATCTTTCTGACAACAATTTCAACTATGAATTACCATACTGGTTGTTTAATCTCAGTAGTGGCATCTCTCATCTTGAACTTCAGGACAGTAATTTACATGGTGAAATACCTTCCAGCTCATTAAGCCTAAGAAATTTAAAAACCTTGATCTATCTTTGAACGACCTCACAGGATCAATTCCAAATTGGTTTGGCCAATTAGAACATCTGCAGCACCTTGATCTATCCAACAACTTGTTTTCTGGTTCCCTTCCCTCAACGCTTGGAAATCTCTCATCCTTAGTTTCCTTAAGAATTGGCTCTAATTCCTTCTCTGGTGCAATATCTGAAACATCTTTTTCCAAACTCTCAAATTTAGAATATCTGGACTCGAGCAATTCCATGCATTCCATTTCAATCCTGAATGGATTCCTCCTTTTCAGCTCCATAGCCTTTTTTTGTCAAATACAAAAACAGGTCCCAACTTTCCACCATGGATATATACACAAAAGTCACTAAGATATTTATATATATCGAGCTCAGGAATTTCATCCGTAGATGGAGATAAGTTTAGGAGCTTAATAGCAGGAAACTATTGGCCAAATGGGTGGTCGAAGATTACCCGGGTACACCCCTGTCTACCCGGGTAAATAATTCAAGCAATTTTTCAGGTGTGAAGAACAATATCCGGGTACACTCTTCCCTACCCGGGTAGACAAAAATTTTCAAAAAATACCCGGGTAGAGAGGGGAGTACCCGGGTAGGCTTGTGGTCAACGGTCAAACAGGGGCAGATTGGTGTTATGTTTTTTGAGGGGGTTAAATTTTTGAAATAGTTTATAATCAAGGTCAAATTGGTAATTAATTAATAATAAAAGGTTACAAGGGTCAAAAAGCCTGAATAGATAAATTGTTTAAAATTTGTATGTTGCGAATTTTTTTTGATATAATCAGTATATGCTTGAATTAATTTATTTTGTTTAAAAAAAACTATAGCTAAAATAATTTAAATATAATACTTAGTTAAAAATATTAAAGGGCGGTATATTCTTACAATGATATAAGAATAAGAAGTCTTATACTAAACATTGTTTATTAATTTACTTGCATCTAACGACTCAAATATGTGATAAATCAGAACAGTTAGATATAAAAGAATTAAGGATCAAGATTAAGAATGTGACTTACACCGGTGTAAACTCTTCTTTACCCAAATATTAAATATACCTCACATTAAATATAATAAAGAAAATTAAATTCAAAAATTAATACTTATAAGATATTATTTTATTTTATTTACTGTAGCAATATTTACATCACTTTTTAATTTTATATAAACATTTTAAAGGAGTATTGTTTCTCATGTTGTAGGAAATAAAAAAAATTCGACAACATGAGAAACATTAATCCCATAATTTAAGCATGTTGTAGGAGATAAAATTATCTCTTACAACATGATGAATATTAATCCCATAATCTAAGCGACACAAAATGATGTAATTTTGAATTTTAAGAAAAAATATAGGGTATTTTAATATCTTAATCCCATAATCTAAACGTCTGCCACTGCTGAACATGGCTTTGCACACACGACCATGCCCTCTAGAATAGCACCCACGATCATCACCTACGTAGTAACCGCTCTACCGGCACTACTCACAACTATAACTGCTCTTAAGGGATATATATATATATATATATATATATATATATATATATATATAGAGAGAGAGAGTCAGAATCATTTTACACTAGTGTAAGTTACACTCTCAATGTTGACCATTGATCCCACTTATATCTAAGGGCTCTAACCACTTATATCTAAGGGCACACACTGATCCATTGGATACAAGTGGATCATTGTGTGTGTGTGTGATCCATTGGATACAAGTGGATCAGTGTGTGTGCGTGCGTGCGTGCGTGTGTGTGTGACACACCTTTGTAGTGTTTCTCTCGGACCTTGGCTTGAGGTATTGGACTTTTCATTTCTAGTTATCTCTTCTATTAGCTTCGTAAATACAATTATTAACTTCCACGCTAAACAATGATAAATAAAAATAAAATATTTGAAAGGTTAGAATATATGTCATATATATATATATATATATATATATAAGATCTATTAATCTCATGTTACATAAGATAATTATCTCATGCAACAGAGATAAGATAGTGGGGTCCACCATTTGTAAAAAATAAAATAATGTGAACCTCACTACTTTATCTCTGTTGCATGAGATAATCATTTATATATATATATATATATATATATATATATATATATATATATATAGTTTTGGGATATTTTTACTACTAGAAAAATTTACTACCAACCCACTACCTCCATATTCACCGTTGGATCTATATTTTCTTTCTCTTCAAAAACTTTTCATCATTCTCTCTCTTTGATCTAATGGTAATTCTGGAGGTAATGAGTTGGTAGTGGATATTTTTAGTAGTTAGAATATCTCCCCTCATATATATATATATATATATATAATTTGTCATTTTAAAGAACAAAACTTTGTGTCATTTTGATGTTGCTTTGGTATATTTGGCCATTTTTTAATTTTTACATTATCTCTTCTCCGTAATACTATGAAGAGATAGAAATTGGAGGAAAGAGAAGGTAAAAAATGGTCAATTATACATTAAAACAATGTCATTTCATCTAACATGACATAACATTATATGACAAATATATATATATATATATATAGAGAGAGAGAGAGAGAGAGAGAGAGAGTTATATTTACAACCTGAATAGTTTACAAACTCTTACAATCATATCTTAACAGTTGATTTCCGCAAATCAACGGTTGTCATTTATTGTGAATTAATAATTAATTAATAAATTTGATTTGCGAAAATCTTAACCTTTGATTGACGAAAATCAAAGGTTAAGATATGGTTGTAAGAAGTTGTAAACGAAAATAGATTGTAAATATAATCTTTCCTATATATATATATATACATATAGTTAAAAACTAACAAAAAAATATTTATATAATAAATTCTTTTAAAAAAGTTGCCATGTTACAATAATAATGAAATAAGATTAATATAGATATATAGATTAATCTAAGCTGTGACCTTTCCTTAAAAAAAAAAAATCTTCCCTCTCAGATCTCAATATTCTGATTGGTAGAGAAGTTGATGATACAGTGGATAGCGGGGCCTAGACTCCAAAACTCCAAACATTCAATTAACATACTTTTGAAATATTTTTCTTAAATTTTTTAAGAAAAATAAAAAACATATAATTTAATGTTTTGCTCAGCTTATAAATTGATCAAAATTACCTAAAACTTTCAACTCTTTTTTATATAAAAAAAACCATTAAAATATAGAAAAATTGGAATTTTTTACCAAAAGAAAGTAAAATTTTCAATTTATTTTATATGTCAAATTTAGCTCGGGCATGAGTTAGGTGAGGTCTTAACTTCATTTGTAGATATTCAAACCACTCACGTCTGTTCGAATTAATTCTCTAGTGAGATAAATAAGAACTATTAATCCTTACAGGGTAGGTCGGGTTGAGACTCCATTTGTCTCACTCCAGTGTTTGGCAACATTCCAATATATATCTCCTTCAACCTCAACGTAAATCTCATTTCAGTTAACTTCAACTTTTC